TGTCAATTAAAATTGAATTTGCAGGTCAAGCAAGAGACAGTTTGCCATAAAATTGTTGAAATATAATGTAGATCCAGTCCTTTATGCTTACTCTAACGGAACAAACCAGTTCTCCTCTCACAAAGCTGCTCTACAGCAGCTGCTGAATTGACACTAAATGAAACAATGAAACTTCCTAACGGCAGCTTCATCAGCAAACAAGGGTGAGATCATATATATTGCAAACATCACATTTGTTATTCATGACATAATCCAAATAGTTTTTTTTAATGTTTTCATTGTGTAAATCTCTCACCTTTGACTACAGTTGATTTCTCTGTGAAAAAGTAGGTCCCCCGAACTACTGTGGTATACCACATGGATCCATCCTAGGCCCTTTACTGTTCTCTGTGTACATGCTCCCATTGGGTCAAATTATCCAGAAGCACAACCTCTCATGCCAGTTCTATGCAGATAACACTCAGCTTTATCTACCCGTCAAACCAAACAATCTTTCAGAACTCACCTCTCTTACACAATGCCTTGAAGACATAAAAACAGGGTGCCCATAACTTCTTACAATTAAATGAGTCCTTAAATGTGTAACAGCCTCCCTCATTTCATCAGGTCTGCACCTTCGGTTGACTCTTTTAAATCCCTTCTCAAGACGTATTTTTAAATGTAAGCAACTTAGCCCTCTGGTCCTGAATAGACTGTTTCTCTCAGGTTCCCTTTATTGTTGTGGATGTTGTGAACTCCTGTATAATGTCTTTTTTAATGCATTGTACAACAATTTTGTCAGCTGCTGTTGTTTTTAAACTATCCTCAGGATGAGTTATCATCCAGTTTGCAAAGCCATTGTGTATAAGCTAGTTCTCTTCTATATTGTATAGTAATAGTAGTATATGATATTGTCCCTTAAAAGTAGGGATCTGATAACCTCTTTCTCTTTGATATTGCAATGTTCAATATCAGTCAAATGTACTGTGTCAGTGGTAATTACAGGCACATTCCCATACATGCTCTCCCCTCTTCTCTGCAGGAAGGGTAATGTGAAGACCATGGCAGACCGTGTCCTGTTGATGAGGGATCAGCTGAAGTCCAAGCTGCAGGCTTTGGGCACCCCGGGGACCTGGGACCACATCACCCAGCAAATTGGCATGTTCAGCTTCACCGGCCTGAATCGTAAGTGTAAATCACTCACTGACACACTCAAATATCAGCACACCAAACACTTTACATGACAAACTAGAAATATCAGTAAAGATGGAGGTAACATTGGCACATAGTGGCAGATTAAGCAGAACGTCAAAGGAGACATTTGTGCTTTCATTGTGCTCATGCATCACAAGAAAATGACTACTTTTACGATTGAATACCATTCACAACACTATGCAAAGCATTATACTGATGTCTGCATTAGCCTGTGGGTCATAACAGCAACCGTAGCTCTAATACTGTGGTAGAGCCACGACAGGATTGACTTACCTGAGGTACCTGCAGTAAAGCAGGATGTAAGAGCATATCTAGCCTTGGGCATATGATTAAGCCGACAGAGTTGGAAAACAGTAGATATCCCTTAACATTAAATATCAGAGTTGCTCTGTAATTGAATAAACCACCTTAAGTTTGTGTCAGCAATGATCTACAAAGGTAAAATCTTTCAACCATCTGAAACAGTTTCACTTGTTGAATTGAATGCAAAACCTGATCAGAAGTCTCATTGGGAGACAAGTTGGGGTTTATCTAAACATAATACTAAAAGTAAGGTTTGAAAATTGTGACATCTCTAAACTAACACTTTGTTCAGACCGCATTTTTCAGAGTAAAGAATTCTGCTATTTGGCTTACTTGTTTTTTTTTCCTACACTTTTTTCCCTTTGATTCCTTTTTATTAATATTGGGGCATTAAATATATCATCAGAAGTTAACTTTGCGATTACTGATGTTATTTTTGTTACCAGAATTGATGTCAAATCTATTAAAAATAGAAATGATTCAAATTTCAAGATTATTGTCACTCTGAATGTGGGTGCAAATGTGTGTTTTATTGCAATTGTTTTATTGCAATTGTGTATTTAGAAAGCTTTTGGACTGGTGGAAAAAGATGTTCCTCAGTCTCAGAGCTTGCATATTAGAGATCTAGAGGTAATCCAACTCATTGTTCACTTCGAGCTTTCTGTGGAGCTTAGCCACATGTGCTTCACTGGAGATTTCTGAACTTCCCGGTGTCCTGATTGATCTTATGGTCTTCATCGTAGAATGGTCTTTGCTCAGTAAGATGCTAGTTTAAAAATTAAAGATTTGAGGTGTGAAAAAGCATGATGCAGTAGTCCTTCTTCTACACTCTGTGTAACACCTCTGTGTTGTAATGTGTCTTACAGCCAAACAGGTGGAGTACATGATCAAAGAGAAGCACGTGTACCTGATGGCCAGCGGTCGCATCAACATGTGTGGCCTCACCTCCAAGAACATAGACTACGTAGCTCAGTCCATCCATGAGACCGTCACCAAGGTCCAGTAACGGGCTTCTTCGCTCCGCCCACTTGTTGCCTCCTGTAAACCACAGGAAGTACTGTCGTGTGTGTGTGCCCTTGTTCTCCTCCTCCTAAGCTTATCCTGCTGTCTGATTGGTTGAACTTCAGCAGTTGAACCATTTTTTTTCTGTTTCTCACATAAAGGTTAGACCTTTTTGGGGCAGTGCAATGATTTTAGGAAGACACTTGGAACACACGCACACAGCCAGGTCTCACTGTCGGCAGAGTTACAAATGTCTTTTATCCAGATCCTTACATTTGTAGTTTAACTGTTTATGTGCTGCACAGATCTTTTCTGGTCACAAATTTTCACTTGGCTCTCTGGCTGGTAAGACATGATTTCAACATAATTTCAGTGCTTCCTCATTCATTTATGACTCCTAAAGTTGTTAAACATGCTGTATCTATTATTGAACAAATTGGTAATGTAAATAGATGTAATCCCTGTAGGAGGTCCTGTTATTTTCTTCTTCAGCACAGAACTCTGGCTTTACTTAATCTCTTAGCCCACAACCAATCACTCTGAGTGAAATAAAAAAAATGGTATTGCAATCTATCATGGTATAGTCTAAAGAAGGCCATCGTGAGAGCAAGAGTGATTGGTGGTGACCAGAGAGAAAGGTTACTCAAAAGTCATGCATGTGCCTGATGTTGAAGGTTTTGCTCTGTCAGACCTGTGCAGCTAAACGTAAAAGATCGTAATGTTAGTTCACAAAGCGACATTGTGCCATTTGGAACAAAATCACCTCTTGTCTTCTCTCTTTGTTTTTGTTTTCTTTCCACCCTGCAGTGCCCTTATTGTGTTACAGAAAGCCTCTCTGTGTTGTAACGAGCCACTCTGATCAGACCTCAGAGCTCTGACGCCTGTCAGTCACATGACCACACTCTCATTATGTGGTGTGTACAGCAGTATGTGTGTCAATATACTGTAATAAATTATAAACACCAGGAACCACATTTTTGCTTTCCGAGTGTTTCTTCCCCCTTTTTTTTTTTTTTAAATTGAAGAAGTACAGTCACATACATATCAACATCTATAAAAGTAATCCTAACAAATGTAATTTGGAAGACACAAAAAATTCAGATTAAAATTTGTTAATTTTCGAGGGACTATTTTTTGTTTTTTTTCCAATTCTTTTTTATGCTGATTTCGGAAAACCCTACTTGCAAAAACATTCATCTTAACTCTGCAGATCCTGTTCATATCATGCATAAGGTCAAACATATCCCATACTAAATATTTTTTTAGTGCAAAATGTAAGTCAAGGGACTTCTGGTTTGCACACCAGATGTTTAACTTAGCTGGCGGCAGCTGTTTTAGGTATTAAAAACAACTATAGAGAAATAATCAGTCTTATATCTGATGAGCTTGTTTATTTTTGTAGCTTATAAAGAGGCACCGATTTTAATTTCAGTCTGTTTCATACACAATCTAAAAGCCCTTCACGCTGCATTTTGACAACAAATCTCAGAATGTCCAAGTAAATAGCTACATTGATGTAAATAACATCATTACCTTCCAATTTTCAGACCAAACATGGTAGGAGCAGTTCATCATTTGTTTTTGCTTGTGTAGATACAAATCAAAGTTTACACTGATTCTTAAATGTAAAATGAAGACTGGAGACAGTGGGGTTTTCAGTACATTCAGAGGCTTTATATGTCTGTGTATTTTGATGCAAAATACCATCACATAGTTTCTTTCTGTTTTACATATAAACACATTTCCATTCTCTTTCCCCAAAACATTGAGTTCATCTCCTCCACAAAGGTCTCTGAAGCAGAATAGAGCTGAAAACATATCAAACTTTTTACGAAGCACTGATCAGAGATAATATTTGCTCTTTGCAGAATAAGTGACATAACTGTTTAAAAATCACATCCTAATGACCGATGATCAAATGGATCTGCAGCTGGAAAAATATCCTTACAACCAACAATGGAATGAACATCCTGCAGCAGGATCCGATACTGTCTGTGTTTGACCTCAAAGGATGATCCTGATTGGCTGTGGTCGACACTCCAATGCAGCAAAGCGACTCAGCAGGTTTGATACATTGCACCCAGGAGGTATGCTTCGCCTCTCCCCCTTTGCCTCTAACATCAGCCAATGAGGTTAAGTCTGAAAGCACCCCTCCCTCTGCCCAGCCTGCGATGGGTCGATGTGGTTGCTTAAAGCAAATACTGCTGGGAGAGGCTGCTAATGGACATATTTATTACAAGATTCATGATCTTTATGATTTGATGATTGTCATTTTCTTTACTTACATCTGAAACTTTTCACCTACAAACACACATTGAGACCTCGAAAGCCTTCAATGAAACAAACACTGCTCTTTAATAATTAATGTGACCCACCAGACTGAAGTCTACAAGCGATTATTTGAGTTAGTTTTGGCAGAAATGTAATCTAAGATCTTTCTCTCTATACTGTAGTTCCCCTTCCCCTCATCTATCCTTGCACCCCCCCCTCTTCCTCCCCATCCTCCTCCTGTGTGCTGCAGTGGCACAAATCCTATCCTGCACAAACATAGTCAGACAGTGCCACGCCCATCCATCCCGTTCTCTAAATATCATGCAGAGAAAAAAACAGTGACCTTACAGGTTCAGGGACACAATCAGAACTGCATATGCATGGACGAAGAACTGGTCCATTTATCCAGCTGCAGAAGCAATCAAAACCTTCAGACACTTAAAGTTCAATACATTTCTAGGACATAGACCCTGATCAGTTGTTAGATGTTAGACAAAAATACATTTTTAGACTAGTTTCTCTTTTGATATCCTTCTGAAATCAACACTCTCCATGCAGTTAGTCCTGTGTGAATTTAGACAGAAACAGCTTCAATGTAAGGACTCCAAAATGAGCTTCATAGAAGGGACTTTTGATTTTGTTTGTCCAAAAAAACAAAACATCATCAGTTCCGTTAGACATTAAGCAGAGAAAAGCATTAACTCTCCATATCTGAGAGGCATTTTCTGCCATGGATGTCTGAAAGAAATCGTCTTAAAATTGGCCCTAATTGTTAAAACAGCTTACTTGACTGGTTGTTGCAGCTTTACATGACATGAATAAATACTATTTTTTCTAATTAAAAAGTGCCAAATCATCTACCAAAGGCCTGGTAGAAGTACCTCTTGATTTACAAATTAGTTTTTCTCTGCAGACATGAAATCCAAGCAGCTAAAAGGAATCCACGCGTAATTAATGTATACCTTTACTTTCCCATTCAGAGATGTTCTCTGAAAGAGTCATCAAAAGCAACATCTCACTGAGTTCATTCAACACAGTACAATGTGAAAAAAAAAGTCAAATCAGCTGGTGTTTAGGATTGACATAAACACACCTGCTCTTAGTTTTTGCTCCTTAGATCTGCCTTTTCACTTCAGTTAATTATTAAGCGTTTTCAGTATTGCTGTTATACAAAAGACTAGGTTGGCACTGCAGCAAAAGAGAACGAGGAGCAAGCTCTCTAAAAGGACTGTTGTTGGCATTGAATCATGCTGGACAAACTCTGCAGTTTAAGCTTTGTCTCCTCAAAATGTAAATCAATTAACAAATCTGTTATCTCACATTCAAATCCATGCAGCCAAGAGGCAAGAAATGTGTATTTGAAAGAAAACTCTAGGACACTGGACACATTCATTTGAACTAGTTTGCATTATGTTTCAGAAATTCCGTTTTTGTTCTTAATGAAGAGAAAACATTCATATTTAATAATAATGTTATATATATATATATAAATCACACAAAGCATTAAAATGAAATATATCTTGGAAAACACAAAATTTTGACATTCAAATAAGAAAAGCCCATGCATGAATGAGATTCATTCATTAAAACATGTGATCTTATTAAAAACAGGCTGAGCTCAAGTGATGATTATTTGAAGGGGTTTAGTGGTCACAGATTGTGTGAAGAATAAAATGTAACTGATTGAAAGGATGACCAGGAATCTCTGAGATCTAGACCCAGATCGGCAGTCTATTCTGTATTCAATACTTGTCTGAGTGTCCTTTCAGGCCCATTAAAAAAAAAGAAAAGAAATAGAAGATAGTTGTTTTTCTTCAAAAGGGATGGCTCAGGTTTTGACAAATAAAGCTTTAGGGGTAAAGACAAGAGAAGTTTAGCGAAAAATAAAGAAACGGAAAAGTAGAATAGTGAAGGAAAAGCAGTTGCCATATACCTTTGACTGTAACATAGAAGAAAGTACATTGAAGGTAAGATGTGGTAGATAAATGGAAAGTCAAAATTAGGGTTGACTCTAAACTTGGATATGATGGTTGTAAAAATCACTCAATACCAATATCCGTCCATACCATGGTACAAAAAACATCATAGGCACCAAATAGCAATATTGCAAGCAAACTCGTGCACACTGTCTCAATTCTGTATTTGAGTATTTGCTGACCTGTGAATTTGACCCGTCTGCTTCTTCTCTTGAGGCAGCTTGGCTTAAAATATGACTTAAAATCTGTAGTTTTAAAAAAAACTTTTCGGTACTTTTAGATACTATCAATCATTACACAAAATTGGAGATTGTATCGTTTTAAAACACATGGTATGGGAAAGTATAGAAGTAATGAAACATTTTGAAAACCATAAAGTCTCTAAAACAACATGTAAGACAACAGATCTAATTAGCAAGCATTTTTTAGTTTTCAAAACATAACTGAATTCAAAGCAGCCATTTCTCTTCCCTTCGTTCAGGATACTCTCTGTGCAATTGGAGCAGTATGTACAAAACAGTAACGTCTTTGGTGCCTTCAATCCGTTTCCTGTGTGCCGTTATTCCCTTTAGCTCCATTGGAGAATCATCACCAGGTGGGTATATTGTGTATAAAACAAAATATTTTTCTAGAAATCTATTACATTCACAGTCATTCTTAAATATACAAGTATCAGCAAGAAAAACCCGTGAAGATGAGAAGCTACTGTTTTAAGGAAAATATTGCCAAAAGCTACACCTCCCCGTACTTGTATAAAATGGTTCATTCCATCAAATGTCGAGTACATTCCTCGTGCTGGGTCCACTTAATGATCTCCTACTGCAGGGACGTGTGGAGTGTGTTGTTTTAGATACAAATCTAATAGATCAGCATCCACATTGTCAATAGAAACAGAAAATGAAGAGTTGTGTGTATGAAACACACACATATTCTGCTAGGTTTTCACCAGCGGCTGCTCTGAAGTATCCTCAGGAGTTTTCTCTCCTTCGCGAGATTTTTTCCTCTTCTTATGACCTGAGGAGACAATATGTTTTAGTAGGAATATTCAAGGAAAAGTTAAGCCTTCACTCACATTTAAATTCAGGGTATCAGTTAAAATAGCAAAATTAGTTGGGCAATGTATTTGTATTTTTTTCCCTTACTCCAACAAAGTAAAACTATATGAAAAAGCCTTGACAGAATATGTTGTTTATAAGAGCAAGTGTTTTTAAAAAGAGGACTTTTCCTCTGGGTCTAAAAAGTAAAGGTGATGTACTATATAAGTGCCTTTAACCTGTAATCTCTCTATTAGCCAGCAGGGGGAAAGTTGTTGCAAAAAGAAGTCAGGTTGTGAAGAGGTCTGAAGCCCTGTTCACATGTGCACAAAACATCTGTAAACTTTCAGGGTGAGCTGAATGTGTCACCGACCAGCCAATTTTTTTCTCTTCAACTTTACCCAGAGTTTTCCTTCCCAGCCCCCATAGTAAATATTCCATGTGAATTTGGGGTGAGCCGATGTGGGAAAGCAACAGGAAGTAATTTGTTCATCCCGGATTCTTGATCCAGAAAGAACATTATTTTATGTATTGATGATTGGACAATGTTGAGTGGTCCAGTAAAAAGCAGTTTCTTTAGCTGAAACCAGACTGAGGTACACATTATCCAATCATGGAGATAAATTATAAACAAGACTTTTGTGTCTAGATTTGTATTTTTTGCAGGTCCTTGGCTTATAATGGCTTCACAGAGTTGACAACAAAGATGTTTAACTGGTGGGCTCCTTTTTAAAAAACAACATTTGAATGCTAAGTAGGAGAATTGTACGTTTATGTGTGTGTATGTGAGGGTGAGGGACATTTTTGTTTTCTGTAGCTTTGTGTTTGCATATGAATGCACACCAAGGAGGAAAAGAGAGAGAAAAGCTCTGAAAAGGCTGGTGAATAAATGGTGTTGTGTGGGTGTGTGTGGGTGAAGGATATCTCAGAGGACCACTTTCAGTTATAAACCATAGCTGTGAGGACATTTTGGGGATACTCTTTCATGGCCTTAGCACTTAAAAGGACATTTGATTTTTTTTTTAGGTTTTTATAAAACTCAGGATTTTTGTAAAAGTTCAAGTTATGGCTCATGTCCTGTGAACGTAAATGTTAACAATGGTCCTCCCATGAATGGAAAACAAACGTCTGTGTGTTTGTGTGCGTTTGTGTGTATTTGTGTGAGACTGACTGAGTTTGAGCAGGAGTTTCTTGCCAAGTGTGTCCTCTGAGCCACTCAGTGACAGGCTGCTGATGAAAGGCGAGGTGTCCGTTTCTATGGGAACAGAGGTGATATCTGGGAGAGAGGGAGAGAAAGACATAGTTATGACATCGTTGAATAGCTTTAGTCTCTCTGGAGGACAGATTCAAGATTAAAGCGGGGTATGGCCCTCTGCTGAGTTTGTGTTCAAAGTGAAACTGAAGAAGTCTAGCCAACAAAACTGTTAGGGAAAGGATCAGAAAATGTTATTACATTAATTTCCTCTTCTCATGCCACCATCCTTTTTGTTAAGGAAAGTTATTCTTCCCCTTAAATCTTTCTTATTACACTTATATGAAAACAAAATAGAGATGGATGTAATTCAAATGCAATAAACAGGTTGAAAGTTGCCAAAATAACTCAATCAATCAAACTTTATTTATATAGCACCTTTCAGACAAATTAAATTGCAGTTCAAAGTGCTTAACAAGAGTGCAGAGAAGTTATTGACGAAAAGTAGTTTATAAAATCATTGAGAGACCAATGCACACCAATAAGAATTAAAAATAAAATATATGTATAAAAATAAAATACAATAAAATACGACACATAAAAGCAACAAGATATTAAAATAAATATATAAGAGGAAAATATTTAAAATTGTAGTACGATAAAAAGACAATACAGTAATGTTAAGATTTGAATTGATATAAAACACTATATAAAAGCCAGACTGAATAAATGAGTTTTAAGACTGCGCTTAAAAATCTCGATATTCTGGGCTCCTCTCAGACCCTCAGGAAGGTTGTTCCACAGTCTCGGAGCGTAACAGCTGAAAGCAGCATCACCAAAGGTTTTTGTCCTGCTCTGTGGAACAACTAAGAGAGAGGAACTGGAGGATCTGAGGGGCCGTACTGGTTCAAACTAAAATCATATCTGATAGGTAGTCTGGTGCAAGGCCATGTAATGTTTTATAAACTAATAAAATAATTTTAAAATCAACACGAAAACTAACAGACAGCCAGTGTAAAGATTTTAAAACAGGTGTGATGTGTGCTCTCCTTCTGGTCTTTGTCAGTACTCGTGCGGCAGAGTTTTGTAGTAGCTGAAGCCGATTTGTTGTGTTTTTTTGGAAGACCAGAAAGGAGAGTGTTACAATAGTCCAGCCTGCTAGTAATAAAAGTGTGCATTAGTCTCTCTGTTTGGCTCAGAGAGAGAAATGGCCTCACTTTGGCGATGTTTTTCAGGTGGTAAAATGCTGTTTTTGTGACACCCTTTACGTGGGCCTTAAAATTAAAATCTGAGTCAAAGATCACCCCAAGATTCCGTGCTTCTTGACTTGGGTTGAGTCCTATTTTTTTTAGTTTGGGGGCCAGTTTCTCTCTCTGAGCCTTTGAACCGATGATTAAAACCTCTGCTTTGTCCTGGTTGAGCTGCAAAAAATTCTATGACATCCAGGCTTTTATATCTAAAATACAATTAAAAAGTGAGTCAATTTGTCTGGTGTCATCAGGAGACACGGCCACATAGAGCTGAGTGTCATCAGCATAGCTGTGGAAAGAGATTCCGTGCCTCCTGATGACACCACCCAGGGCTAACATGTACAAATTAAAAAGTAGTGGTCCTAAAATTGATCCTTGTGGTACCCCACTGGAGACCTCATATTGTTTGGAGGTGCAGTCTTCTATCGATACAAAACATTTTCTGTCACACAAATACGAGGTGAACCAGTTAAAAACATTTCCAGAAAGGCCTACATGCTCACTTAGTCTATCTTAAAGAATCTGGTTGTCAACAGTATCGAAAGCAGCACTGAGGTCGAGTAATACCAGAACTGAAGGCTTGTTGTTGTCGAGGTTTTTTCTGATATCATTAACTACTTTTAGCAGGGCCGTCTCAGTGCTGTGGCGTGCCCTAAAGCCAGATTGAAACATTTCTGATGTAGTGTTTGAGGTTAAAAAGGCACTCAACTGATTAAAAATTAACTTCTCTAAAATTTTACTTAAAAATGGCAGGTTTGAGATGGGTCTAAAATTACTAGGTGTTAAAATATCCAGGTTCCCTTTTTTTAAAAGAGGTTTAATTAAGGCAGTCTTAAAATCTTAAAATCTAGCTGTAAGGAGTGATTTACTATGTCGAGGACATCTTCTGATACTGAAATGAAAAAATGGTTTTAAAAAGGGATGTTGGAATTGGGTCAAGGGAACATGTGGATGGCTTCATTTCTGTTACCACTGTCCTGAGTGTTGCAGCATCAACCAGGGCAAAACTTTCCAACTTGACATCACTGATTGTACATGATACTGGAAAAAGTGCGGTGTGCTTGCTTTGCTGACAGATACCAGACCTAATGTCAACTATTTTATCCCTGAAGTAGCCAGCAAAAACCTCACATTTAGATCCTGAGAGCACAGAGCTGTTGTTGGTTGTGAGGTGTAACAGAGAATCTATTGTTCTGAAAAGATGTCTGGGCTTGTGAATGTTGCTGTTTATCAGGTTTGAGAAATATTCTTGCCTTGATTTTTGGATGGCTTTGTTGTAGTCTTTTATTGCTTCTATGAGTATATTTTTATCAATTTCAATTTGTATTATATCATGATGCAGAATTGTGAAAAACTGAAATAATGCCCAGCAGGACAAAATATGCTTATAATTTATAAATGCTTGTTTTGTTTTTTTAGTTAAAAAAAGTTCAGATTCTCTATTTCTGATGCAACATAAGGTAACCAGGAGAATATCAGGCCGTTGCCACGCAGTGTCAAATGAATTAGTCTCTCACATGTTTGCATTAACCTGATAATTGTGCTGCAAAAGCATTGTCTGCCCTGTTTGTATCAACCATTGACTGAATATAAAGATGGACAATGTATCTCCACCTTCTCCTGTTATACAAAAATGAAGCCAAAATGTTGTTATGGACATATTGAATGTTGGGAGCCAGAGTCTGTACATTGTAGTTCAGCTGGTGGAGCTGTAATATTGACTCCCCACCCCTATCTACATACATACACATCATTTACAGATCACGCAGGTCGACACAGTCGACACAGGCTTTGTCTGTTCTGAGGTTGTCAAAATTAGATTTGCACATATTAACTCAAATCATGTTGACACACTTTCTGGATAGTTTCTGGACAGGTTAAACCAGTGACCTATACTGCAACCAGGCAGAAGGGGAAGCTCCAAAGGTTTTGGCTTTACTATTGGGGAGCTGTCATCCATATTTTTATAGTCTGACTAATTTTTTTGTCTGTGGTCTAAACACATGAGGGTTGGTTTCTGTTTTGGTAGTCAAAGTAAATCAATGTGTTTTCTACAAAAGCAAAAACAAACACTCTTTTGAAATACTATGGGGCAGAGTTGAAATAATGTACGTCTCCACATAGGTATATCAATAGTAGAGTCTATGATTGTCTAAAATATCATATAGAAGACAAGCCCAAAAATACTTTCAACCTGTCAGAATACTCGTTAGACGTCGTACCAGAGTGTGGCTCAGCTTCTGCTCTGTCCTCCCTGATGTAGGGGATCTCATCCATCCTGAGAAACACTGAATCACTCGGACTCTTCTGGCCGTCAGACTTACTTCCTGCAGCACACACAAACAGAATACAAACATTAAAAGTGTTTTTCTTTGATACAGTCTTTTTGCAATCAAATGTTTCATTTTATAAACTTGTTTAATTCAACTTTCTTAAAAAGACAGTCTAAGCCTTCTCACTGTATTATACAGTAGTAGCAGCTAGTTTTAAAGTAGCAGTCTTTTTAATATGTCTGATGATCTACAACAGTTATGTAGTTGTTCTTCTTCAGATGAATTATGAAATAGGCGAGCTCCTTTAATTCAAGTGATATGTACACATTGAAATGTTTGTTTGTTGTTTCATCATCTTTGCTGGATGTGACAACAAATGATGATGAAAAGTTATTATTTAACCTCAAATCTACAAAGAAGGAATCTTTTATATTCGAGTAAAAGTAAGATACCATGTGTTAAAGTCACAATTTCAACACATTAACATGACCTCATTTTGAAATATAAAAAAAATAATGATAAAACAATATAAATAACTCAACAAGAAAAATGATAAAAGTGACCCTTAACAATCATAGAAACTGCAATATTAAACACATTGCAGACAGTTCCCATTAAAAAAAAAGGGTAGGATGAAGCTCACACTAATGTTATGCAGCCCTGTATGCACCTTTAATGCACTATAAACCAAATATCCAGACCAGTGTCACATGCAGAGAATAACATATTCATAAATGTAACTATTGCAATCATTACTCTTCTTTTATTGATGTGCTTTTTGTAAGCGTTTGCCGCATGATCTAATAAAATATGTAAGTATACTGATACATAACTCATTTGATAATAACCAATAAATCACACCCAAGCCATATCAAAACTAGTGCTCATACAGCTTTCTGCAATTAGGCCCAAATATCAATCAACCAGTCTCCAAGAAATGAGACAAACACCTACCAAACTATATTTTCTAGGAATATATTGAGAAATGTTATTAATGTATCCGACAAGTCGCTAAAATGTTAATACAAAATGCACAAGTGTAAAATTCAAAATGTATTATTTATTAGTATTGTGACTGCAAAATGAATACTTGAATATGTCCTGTACTTTTCACCCAATCCTTCCACTATCTCGCTAGTCCAGTGCGGTTCATCATGTAGCACAGTGGCTGTCTGCAGTGTTTTATTTAATCTAAGAAAGGCTATGTGAACATAATTCAGGTTACAATTAAGATGTCAACATTTTGTATGCAGGTTTGTAACATACAAATGCAATCTAGGACGATCTTCTTGGAGATTTGTGCAGCCAAACAAAGCACACATTGAATACAAACATAATTAATAATTAATACCGTGAACACAGAGATTTTTGCTGAGGTACTGCAGTCTTTTCCGTACCTCCTTCATAATCTGTCATTTCTCTGTCGCTGTGTCCTCTGTCTCTGTTTTAAAACAAGCCTTCCAGGGTACTGGATAGTCTAGCAGTTCTGTCAGGCGCCCCATGTACAGTGGCTATTATCCTCCTAGCAGGTGGCCAGGTTGGACTGTGGCCCGTGGCTCTTTTCCTACATCTCATTCTCCACCCTCCAATTCCTGTTTCCAAATTCTATCCTCTGTCCTAGCAATAAAGGCATAAAAGCCCCCCCCCCCTTTTTTTTTTTTTTTTTTTTTTTAAGAAAAAAATCTCTCTGCAGCTTGAGCTGGTGTATCGAACTCCATTTATCCTGAATATAATACTCTAATGGATTCTGAGAAGCTCATTTTCGGAGCAGCTGTGTTTATCTGCCTCTGAATCCTCCAATCTTCTTTTATTGACATCAGCCTGAACTGTAAATCTGCTGCAGGATTATTTCCTCTCCAAAGAGTCAAGAACACTTACGGACGATGCGGTTCTTCTCGTTCAGCAGCGAGGTGCTGTGAGGGACGCTGGACTGCTGTCCTCTGGTCCGGGCTGATGTGGGCCGGCCTAGCTCTCTGGGTGGTGGCATGAGGGTGGTGGTGGTGGTGGTGGTGTGCTGCGGGGGCATTAGGGTGGCTGAGTGCTCTGTAGTTGGGGGCTCTGGGGTCAGGGTGTTACTTTCTGTCAGAAGGGCGTCAGCGTCGGGCGTCTGAGGAGAGCTGTCCATCCGTGTGGCTGTTACAGCGTTCTGGTAGTGACTCCGTGTTATCTGAAACATCAAGCATTGTGGGTATTTTTCTTTTGATCTTCAACAAATATTTATTAAATATTGCAAATATTTTTTTTTCTGTTGACATCACTAACTATTTTTACTGTTAGCTGACATCATTTATTCATGGATTTTGTTGTTTGTCTTTTCCATGTAGTATAAAAAGATGTGTGATTCTCTGATAAAACTCATCTAATGCACTTTTGTACTCATTAATGGACTTTATTTCTACTGCCTTTTAAAGGGGTGTACAGTTTACAACAATTACCCATGTTGTAATGTGACGTCTTCTGCATGAATTTCCAAAGACTTTGTAAAAAATATATATGAAAACCTCATATTCTATATATTTCAAATGATCCATATCGCACATGTTTCAATGTTTACACAACATAAATATATTTATTTTAAAGAACACCATGGATCTATTTACCGACTACCACAGTCTCACATAATTATGCTATATTAAATGGGATGCTGGTACGGTAACCTCAAATTAAATCGCCAAATAAATAAAAAACAAAACCACGCTACTGTCTTTAGGGGTCACAGTAAAGGTGAAAACAGATAAGAAAATAAGTGTAACAATGTTTTGACAGATCCATGCTGAAGTCATTTGATCGTCAGGCATTACCTTGATGATCTGTAGGGGTGTGAGCTGTCTGACAGAATAGTCGGGCAGATATACGTTCCCCCCTCCGTTCAGCTGCCCCATGCTTCCTCCGTACAACATGGACTCAGAGCGGTCCAGACCACTGCTTCGCGACGGGGATCTGTGGACTGCAGACAGACAATCTTTCAACTCTGCCTCCATTGTCACGTCTAATGTTGATGATCTGACTGTAAACTATGATCAGTGCACAGAAGAAGCCTTTGTCCTGGTTTCTATCACCACCAGTTATCTGAATATTCACTGGCTTCACATGAAGCCTCGAAATATCAGTTGTTACCCCGAGAGGGAACACACAGCCATCTGAAGACAGCCGATGGGTTCCTAGATTCAGTTTTGGAGCTAAAAGCCCAATTCAGACTGCTCTTTCAAGGTGGAATATTTATGTTTCTCCATGTGGCATTTCACCTTCAATCTGAATGTTGCAGAGGTGTAATGGAGGAAGAAAGTGATCCCAGTCTCCATCTTTGGAGGTAGTAACAGAGGCGTTACAGAGGCAAGGCGGGATCAGACGAGCCAGTAAGGGGAGCACAGCACAGCGCTGTGTGTTTGTGCATGTTTGACTGTGTTTGTATGTGGAGCTCCCACTGTGCTGTGTGTCCGCAACACCAAAACGCAACTAGTACACCAATAATACACCGTCGTATAATCAATATGAAGGGCAAAGACATGATGACGGTTGAGCTTAGATAAGGCGCTATTGTGGAAATGCAGTCTTCAAGCCAAGGAATACAAGTATGCAGAGTGTTTGGTGCGTTTATTTGTACCTGCTGGCATAATGGCAGGTACTCCAAAGTAGGAAAAAGCTCCGTTCTCAAACTTCAGAGCCTCTTTTCCAAACTCCACCTCAACTCTTCCCTGAAGTAACACATTAGGGAAAAACAGAGATACAGAATAAACCGACCATGTCTTGTCACGAGAAGATGCTTAAAACATTTTGAATTTGATCTTTTTCTTGACTTAAAACACAACATCAGGTTCTGTACCTGCAGCACCAGGATGAAGTAGTCCACTGGTTTGTTGCGCTGGAACAGGAAGTGCTGCTGCGCTCGCTTGTTTTTCTCGTCAAACTTGAGTTCTTGGACCACACTGGGGTGTTTGATGAGTCTCAACAGGATCTTCTCTGAGATGTGAGCTGGTTTGAAGGGCTCCACCTCTGACGGAGAGAGGAGAACATCAGTGTTGCTCAGTATTTTGTCTTGATTGATTCGTTAGTTCAACCTCACCTCAACCCGGTAATAAATGGGATTTAAAGGGCTAAAGGGTTAAAAAGCAGAGATGAGGTGACAATGTTTCTGAAAGCCCTGATAACGGTTAAAAAATAGAACATTTGGAGGCTGAAAATATTCTCAGATCTTGTAGGATGTAAACTTGAAAAATCAACATTGCTTTAAGACTTGTGAGGCTGCTTCAGTTTCTTTATTTGCCCCTTAAACTAAATCCTTAACTTGGATGTATATATTGAACCAAATACCAGACCCCTCCATGAATTCCAGCTGATAAAACGTCTGCATATATAATCAATTTCCTTATCCCTCCTTCCCTGTGAGAACATATTTTCCATCCAATTTAAAGATGCTGAAAACACACCAACAGTGTTTCTGATTGGCTGTTACCTGTGGAGAGGAAGCGGTGAGTTGCCAGGAGAAGCTGAGGAGAAATCTTCACCTTCATCTCATTCTCAGACAGTTTAAAGATGGAGAAGTCCTGCTGCTTCCTCTCGTGGTGAGAAACGCGACGCTTTGTGCGATTATCAGCTGCAGACACAGAGAATCAATATGCTCTCATTACTTTTATAATGATCCTGAAAACTGTGTCCTATTGTGTGTGCATGTTTGTTTCTATTCATACTGTAGAGGTCCGTCTCATCCAGAATCTCTGACTTGATGATTTCCTCTATGACGTCCTCCAGCGTGACGATGCCCATTACCTCGTAGAAAGGGTCGCCCTCGCCCTCGTTGTTCACTCGCTGCACAATGGCCAGGTGAGACTTTCCTGCAGGGGCGAATCAACAAGTCAAGTCAGTAACTTTCTAAAATACCTCTACTGCCAGATGCAGACCTTAGACTGTATAGGCCTATTCATGAAGCAGAACTAGCCACCTTGTTTTGTAAACAAACAGTCAAAAGCCTTAACATCTGGAGCCAGGAAATTACACATTTTTCGTCCTACTTTAGAACACTTTCAAATATTTAGGTAAGCACTTTAAAGCTAATGTTAAAATTGGATAGGAATTGGTTAAATGCTAACATTAGCTGTTATCTTTAGTGTCCAGTGGGTTATCATATATGCATGTTTATTAAGAGACATGCTACTCTCACAAACAAAGCCCTAGACCAAATTGGGTGCCCCTAAGCTGTTGGGGGTGTGTTGCCTAGCTCAAGGGCACTTCAGCAGTACTCTGACAAATTTCCAAACTTTGGTCCATACCAGGACTTAAACAGGCAAACCTCTGGTTTCCAACCCATGGACTGAGTTACTGCTATCCCGTGTGAACTATAAAGACAAAAACAGGGTTTTGAACCATGCCATAAACATGTTCATTGGTGCTGGAAAAATTGACATTTTACTATGGGACCTAATGGAGATTCCTTTGCTTTTGGAGCCAGCCTTTAGGGATACTTAAAGGCTTTATATGCAATTTTTTGATCCAGCAGATGTCGCCCTTGAGCACCAGCATGAAACCAAAACAACTTATGGTGCATTGTTGTGTTAGCATGCTAATGCTAGCGATCTTTATTATGCTCATATCTTCACACTGCATGTAAATTTACCTGAAATGAGCGTGATCTAGAAACACAGTTAAGCAGTGAGTACAGTATGTTATTCTTCTTTTCTCTAGTCCCTCAATTAAACAACTTTTATACGTGAGGGGAGGAGTCAGCCGGCCGTCCCAACGATGTAAACAAAGTGAAGATAGGACTCTGAAAACTCTGAAAACATCGCAGACAGTGGGACTCGGGTGTTACACCCATTGTAGACAGTCATTACTCACTGAGTTATTTTCAGAGGATATACTTGATTTATATTACATTTAAGTGTGAAAAATCACATATAAAGACTTTAAGGAACTGCAGTTGTTTATTATGTCTGTTCCATATTGACTAATTGAAACTTGGTTTCCCTCCAGATTTTTGCAATTGCTGTTTAATTATTAAATTGTAAAATGATAGCGACTCTTATTTTCCCTGAGTTCATACAAATTACAACAAAGAGACAGCACTACATCATTATATCAACATTTGACATCCCACCCTGTGAATATGGTAAATAATAGGTCAATGTTCTATTTTGGTTACACATGGAACTCACATATCTTGTGAGAGAAAGAGAAATGAATGTCAGGGAACTCACAGAAGGGTTCACTTCATGCAAAATCATTGACATACTGATAACATACTGTGTTTAAGGGAGTCTCTTGTGTCATACAAAGCAAAAATGTCTTCAAATAGTATTGACATTGAACAGACAGCAAGCAACATTAAGATTTCATGGGATCATCCAGGCATGACATCAGAAATTAAAATTGCAGAAAATATGTTTCCAAAGGTGCAGATCACTTTGCACAGCATAAAGTTACCTTACTGTGAACAACAGCTGCATGAAGTTGAATCAAGCCATTAGATTTTATACGCAAGTTAGGATTAGATTTGGTGTTTCTCGTCTCATGTGATGTGTGACTCATGCAGTGTGGGAGAGCAGCGCTGCACTCTGATGCTCAGTAAGTGGAGCAACAGCAGGAGATGAGCGGAGTGGGTGTACCAACAGAGAGGATTTAATACAAAACACACACACACACACACACACACACACACACACACACACACACACACACACACACACACACACAGTGTGCAAAAGTACAATCCATCCCATGGAAACACTCAGGGGACACATGCTAAATCTGCGTTTACCTCTAGGATGATGTTTGTGTGGCTGGAGAAACCTTGGGGCGTTTCAAAAAGATAATGGAATTATTAATAACCCCTGCACTGCTGAATGGAAGACTCCAAATGAAACAAAACAAAGCAGTCCTTAGCTAGTCTTAAATGCTACTTGGGTTATTTTTCATTGGCTGTATTGAGTTGTATTTTATCTAGGGCTGTCAGATGATCATTTTTTAAATCATAATTATTTTTTTTATTTCAATTTCAATTTTTTATTGCATGTTCCATTATTTTGCTGGTTTTGTTATGCGTTTATTTTGAATTTATGTACTGTATTACGCAAAGGTTACTTTACTTTCTGTTTGGATAGAAAGCTGCTCTTATTTTGAAATAGGATAAGGGACATCTGGTAAAAAGGTAACTTCAAGTAAATGAAAACAGTTAAAGGGAACAGTAAAAATGTTGTGCGTTTGACACAAGGTGGGTATGACTTTTGACTTAATTGTCAACTGACCTGTCTGGAAGTTTTTTAAAGTGAAATGAGCCATTCAAAGACACAGCAGAGTCATTCCAATCCCAACCTGTTTTCCTGTTTCACACAATGCTTTTATTAGGATTTTAGTTATTTAGTGAGTCAAATCATTGCATTACTGTATAACTGCTCTGTGATCAGGAAAGCCACCGAGATCATAAAGGACGCCTCTCAGCCCCTCCACCACTCCTTACAGTTACTGCCATCAGGCAGATACTACAAAGTCCCTCTGGCCCGGAAAAATATATACAAAGAAATAATTAATTCCCTCTACAATAACCCCCCTGAACAAAATAAAATAGACCCTTTTTATCAGCCATTATTTATTTACAGTCCCCTTTCTGTTTTTAAAGGGAGCTTTTAGCCTTAGTCTTTTGTAATTATTTTGTAACACATGGTCAGCTAGTGTTAACATTACACAGAGCTACAGGTCTGTTCTATTTGTTTCTTTTATTAGGTCTCTCGCCCTGATTTCTGACTCCATCCACTGTCCTATCTCTACAATAAAGTCACAGAAAGCCCAAAAATAAATCAATTAACATTTTATTAGGTCTGTTTTAAGGTATTCTGTAGCTGTTGTTTTGAGGTCTGTTTTTATTACTTTCTCTTACAGTCTTTAGCTAGCTAGGTCTTACTGAATTCAAGTTGGGTATGTCAGTAAATTAAACCAAAATCAAACAAGAGGAAAAACTTTCATCCACTTTGCATCCATCACTTATCCCAGTTTTGCTTAATTTTATGATCATACAATATGCATCCAAGTGTACCCATGAATATACTGTACACACAGAGAGAAAGCAGAGTGATTCTTGTTTCTAGCTACTCCTGCACACCCTGGCTCCAAACCAACTTCAACCTCACTCGAGACTCTCTGCTTCTACACCTTCTGCCTGCCAATTACCGCCTCACACACACACACACACACATTAATGCACACACAGACTCACACAAATGTGCACAATTCTGGCAGTGCTAAATTGGCTAAATAGGTCAGCCTTACATACAGAACAGGGAGAGGAGAGGAGGGGAGAGGAGAGGAGAGGAGAGAGCATTTGTGGCTAATGTGGTACATGTAAATTCTTTCTTTATGTATATTTTTTCCGTTTCATCCTCACACTTATTTTTCCCTTATTCCGTTTCATCCATCTTGTATTATGTATACTGAAGCAGCCTTAAAGTTTTGTCTATTCTTCAGCTGTATTTTGTTTTCTTGGAAACCTTCACCGCAACAGTAAACCAAATTTGAAAAGAAGTGAACAATTACGAGTCAAGATGCGGTTTAGGGCACACTCACCTCTTCCAACTGTGCCAGGGCCAAGGAAGTGAACTGTGCTTGAGCACGGTACACAAACGAACTGGGTTTTGGGGGTCAAACATGCTTGAGCATGGCACAGAATGCCTAGTGTAAGTGCGCCCTTACATCCATAAGTGTTTCCAACTCATTTTTATTCACCTGATCATGTCTCCAGCCAGAGAAGAGATAATATGTCATTTAAGCAGAAAAATAGGAGTTCATTTTTAATAGGAGTCATGCTCAGACCATTATAGATACTACTATGTGTAGAAACTGAGCTTACTTAGAAAGCCAACTTCGTACATTGCCTGTAATGAACGCATACTTTGGTCCTGTCCTTTCATACCTTCTAAAAAACTGCAAGGACAACCTCTTTCAAAGGCAAAAGTTGACTTCAGAGGATCAGTAAGCAGACATAATTAAATTCATTTCATCACTTTATCATGAGCTATCCTTTTCGCTCATATTCCCCTTTTTTGCTTTTTAAAAATGCTTCAGATTGCAAAAGATATTTATATATGATATATGTTGTAAAACTTATTCCACTACGTGAACTTGTGTTCTCAGCACAAGAATAGATCAGCCTAAAAGTGAAGACAGAGATCAGATGGCTGGGTATACTGTAAATGTAGCACACTGAATATTTTATAATGTGCCTCCTGGGACACCATACAGTGACAAAGACCGAGAGACAGAGAAATAAGAGCAGATTCAGAGGGAGAAGAAATTTGAGGGTTGTTGGGTGTAAATATAAGTAATGTGTGGTATAATTAAACTATAAATAAAACAGTTTAAAGAACATTTGACCTTTATTAAAAGAAAAACTCTTTTTTTTTTTTTTTTTTTACAAGGGATCACTTTTAAGCATATAAATATGCTTTTCAAATGTTTTTGATTGATTCAACCCTTTTTAACCAGGACTAAATGTAATTGTTGCAGGTCTACGCTAACAGGAATTACATAAAATAATGCCTCAGCAGTGTTCACCACCGTGACAGATATATACATCTGTCAAGTATTCCCCAATTTTGTATAAAAATTGTTCAATTTTGTATAAAAATTGTTCCTTTTGCACAATCATATTGATAAAATCAGTAGGATTGCAACAGAAGTTACTGCAATTATTTATATATTAAAAAGGACCTAGAACAGGGCCCTGTGGAACACAATTTAGTAAGGAACAAAATAAATATTCAAATATTCAACTTGGACTTTTCACAGCTCCACCATAAATCATTACGTTAGCTTACCTGAAGTATGTAACAGACCTTAGTGAATGTTTTAAAAAGCCTTGGGTAAGTCATACAAACAGCAACAAAGTTTTCTTTCACTTTCATCTATAATATCACAATGACAGTACTGCTTTTTTTCCAATAAAAAGCTAAACTACAAGGATTGAGAATTAGGTATTGGGATAAATAAAATCCTTGATTGATTACAAGTGATTTCTTAGAAAATCGTGTTGGAAAGTTTGGAGTAAAATGGAAAGTGCTTGTTTTCACTTCTTTTGTCTGTTTGAGGTTGGTGACAGACAAACTGTTAAGGTATCATATCTTAAATACGTTCAGTCAGAGCTCTGTTTTGAAGCAAAAGCTGTTCTTTAAGTTTAGCTCTACAGTTTTCTGGCAGAATAAAAACAGACACTTGTCCAGGTTTTGCCTGTAACGTCCACTAGTCAGCTTCCTATCTGTCTAAACAAGATCCCCCTGGTGCTCTAAAGGTTTTGTGTACTATCGTGCTCCTGCCTCACAGTGGGGGAAGGTGTAACTTGGCCGGCTTCCGTAGTGCCTGATGTTACTGCTTAGCATTCAGCCAAAGGATTCCTCTGTGGTCTAAACAGAGTGGAAGACACTGCTGCAGTCTTTATTATGTTTAACATTTAGAAGGCAAAGAAAGCATCCTATAACTGCCTCCCCAACCTCACACTTAATTTATCCTTCCTCTACTGCAGCTAATGAGCTCTACTTACAAGTATTGATTTCCTTTCAATTGTCTAAACTTCACATCAGTGTAAATACTTAATTTTAATGTGTAGTTTAGACCACCTTTAAACCTAAGGTGAGCCTCACAAGTCTCTGTTTCAGATTATACAGTTATTGTTGTGTTCACTGCATTATTCTAATGCGTGTAGTATTAGTATTTTCTCCTGTATTTAGTCCCCCTTCAGCAGGTTTGGACAGCATAATTTGTCATTTGAATGCCTTGAAAACTATTTATTTTTGATATTTATCCTCAGTATCAGCTTTGTGCATTTTTACCAAGAAATCCTCCTTCCATCAAAGTTTCAAAAGACAGTCATGGCATTTCTCTACAGAATGGAAAAGAGACCAGCTTTGTTCCTTAAGCCTTTCCCTTGATTTGTGTCTCTCAACACCCCCCTTCAACTGTGTTTGTTTTTACCTTTGTATACAATCAAACAGAATTGTATGATAATTTACTATCTAAAAAACATGATCAACACATACATAGAACTGTGCAATCTGGGCACGCTGGTGGCGCAATGGTTAGGGCGCGCGTCCCATGTATTGAGGCTCTCGTCTCGAGTGGGAGGCCCAGGTTCACTTCCACCCGTGGCCTCTTTCCGTATGTCATTCCCCGCTCTCTCTCCCTGGTTTCCAACTCTATCCACTGTCCTCCTCTGCATTAAAAGCCCAAAAATAAATCTTAAGAGAACTATGCAATCTTGGAAACTATGAGCTATCACATAACACAATTCACAGCCAATCTTTTAGGGCTTCCTGATGATACTCTGGCCAAGACTTCCTCTCCTCTCTGCAGGTATTGTTTACTGTCAAACCAACCTCTCAACTCATCGCTTATTTTCCACAGAGCCTTTTTGGAACAACAGGCAAGTTTTCGGGGCATATGGTGTAGCCACCAGTTAGAGATAAAGGAGCCAAGACTTCCTTTTCCTTTCATTTTGTAAATACTTAAAGACACTGCACGTAGAGCTGTTAGCACTGCTCTCTCTCTCTCTCTGTTTACCCCTGCAGCTCTCTGGGACAGGACCACTGCAGCAGGGGTCTAAATTGAAATGAATGAGGGAACCTGCGTTTTTCTGCCGCAGTGCCTGAAAGTGTTGTGGGGGGGAGAGGTGCAAAAGGAGAAAGCACAGCAGAGAGACAGAGGGAAATAATCCTCTTGTCTTGTGTAGATTATTAGATTCAGATCCCTCTTTGGCACAGTGACAACAGGAATCATCATGCAATTTTGATGACATCTGTCTTCTCGTGAATCAAATCTGTACGCATGCAAAATACAAACATGTTGAGATAAAGTCAGACTGGATGACTGGATGAAGGATTGCCCTGCAGTTCAGATATCGCAATTGCTTTTCTAGAGGTCCTTGCATTCCTTTCCCAAGACATAATGTTTTTGATAAATATGCAGAGCTAAAAACAAAGCTTATCTTTCTAGCTGCTACCAGAGTGATTATAAAATAAGCAGGACCATGAATATATGAGCCTTCACTTGTTTCCTGTAAACAGAAGCTTGTCTTGTTCAAGGTGTCCTTCTCTGTTTACCTCTATCTCCACCTGTCCTCATCACAAACCCTGCAGGAAAAAAAGCTGACCGTGCAGAGTCCCTGAACATGCAGCAAGCCAGTGAAAGCAGCAAGTATCCTGATTGGCTGGTTAGCACCCCACCCATTTTACACTCAAAATAAAGCAGGGAAGTCAGCTGACTTGAGACAGGAGGAGAGAGTGTTCTGCTGCAGCAACTCTGCAAAACAGGGTTGATCTCTTCTTTAATGCAGAGCAGAGCCATGCAGACTGAGGGCTCTTTTAGCTGCTATTAACACAAATTCACCTCCATAATACTTCACTTAAGAACAGCCTTAAATAAGCAAATAGAAGTTGTCCCTCAAGTATAGCTCAGCTAATACATATATTTGATCCTGAGTATATCTATCTCAGAGTCATTCCTATTCTTTTCAATTCATAATTGTAGAATTTTAAAATCACCTTAACCTTCATGATCCTGACTGTCTAGAAGGCTTACATCAAACACCTACTTTAATAGGACTCAAAAATCCAACTCGTCAAAATCCCAATTGCACCACGTCTACTGTTTCACGTGACCAACGGGAGCGTTTCATAAATTAGAGCCCCTCTCAATGGCAGTCATTAGCTATTTTATCATTTTTTTTATCATCTATCATTTTTCTTGCTTGGCCTTCGCGTTATGAAGTGAGAAATGAGAACACTGAATATAACCTGCAGGTCTTGTGTCTGCCTGCTGTTCAGCATTTTCACACATCACCAGTGTTTATAACACGTTGTCTCTCCTGAATCTAAACAGTTCAAAATAGCATACGTGTTTTTTAACACAAAGTATTTATCAACCTCTCCTCTGTCATTTTTCAGCTATGACACTACATGACATGACAACACCAAATTGACACTCCATCTGATATGTGTACAGTCCAAGTCCATATATGGATCTAAATGCATGGTGCATGCAAATGAAAACAGGTTTTCTTACTCACTGCGTTTAGGTAGTCTTTTGCAGTGTGTTTATATCACATGGGAACATTGAAGTCAATATTGTTCATTTTTTTGTGCCGCAGAAGTTCTTTCCACTTCCTCAACCCGACATGTTTGTACTAACAATTGGAACACATGGTTTACACTGGGAAGGGGTTGCAGTTTGATAAGGTTTAGGCATTCAAAACGTATTTGTTTAGTTTAGAAAAAAAGATTGTGTGTTTGGTTAAAGTACACCAGTTACTTAAAATGACTCGGGTTATATTAATGTATCTACTGAGTGATACGTTTGGATTTAGACAGGACTTAAACTCATGTCTCCTGGGTTAAACCAGTGTCTATTATTTGTATCCATAGCCCCACAAAACAACCTTTGTTGCTCCCATCACATGGCACCTGAAAGCCATTGTTGTTACTGTTATAGCTTGAATGAGGATAGTCTCCAAAACTGCCAATTGTAACCATACTTTTGCAAGTTGTGCATTTTGTTTTAACTGTCCCAGACAGTGTGATATGTAATGAAACTGTGAGATCATGTGCATGTTCTGCTTATCTCACTGTGTGCATGCCATTTATCAAGCAACTGTACCGGTGATGAATGGTCCTGTTTCAAACACCTGGACAGAACATTCAGTTCAATCAGAGTTTGAGAAAATCTGGTAAAAACTTTTTTATTTGATCTAATGTCCAGGAGTTTCATCATCTCTAGATATGTACAACTCATATCTCTGTGATTGCATTTCAACAAAGGTTTCCTATTCCTTGTTGATAAAATTTCCTGTCAAAATATGACAAAGATGTCGTGTTTTTGACACATAGTCACTTTCTGCTTAGCAACAGTTAAAATGGAATTAAAGGGACCAGAGTCAACACAGTCAGCATCATCTCACCCCACAAAACAGGTAGGTTACCATGGTAACGTCTCCATATGGGTTAATTTCAACTTCTGCACTCCAACACAAACTCTAAAAAATGAGAGTTGGAATATTACGGGAGTTTTCAGATGATAAATCAGAGGCTTTTGTATGTAACCATAAGTGTGAAGAGATGAGGACTGATGGGCCTCATAAAGTCCACTTCAATTAATATTAAACGCGTTTTTTCGGCTGCAACTAAATGCATCTAATGATTCGTCCTTTAGCCACAGTATTGCCACTTCCTGAATTGTTTCCATGTACACACTGACACATACGGATACAACTTTCTAACTCCCTCACCCTCGTGTCCTGCTCACCTTTCTTGAACTCCTCCAGCATGGCGTCCAGTTTGGTGTCATTAAACACGCAGTGCAGCGGGTGTTTGTAGAACTGGGTGATGGTCTTAAGAGAGGTGCAGTCGTCCGGGTCCACGAAGGCCAGGTCCTTCACGAACAGGATGTCCACTATGTTGGACCTCTCGTTCTCAAACACGGGGATCCTCGTGTATCCGCTCTGCATGATGTCAGACATGGTGTTAAAGTCCAGCACGACGTCCGAGGCCAGCATGAAGCAGTCAGTCAGCGGCGTCAGGACGTCTTCCACGGTCTTGGAGCGCAGCTCCAGCGCGCCCTGGATTATGTTGAGCTCCTCTTTGACCAGGTCGTGGTATGGATCTGAGACGCGCAGCATCTCCAATAGCTTCTCCCGGGTATAGAAGTTAGAGATCTCCTGGTTAAGAATGAGGTCCAGCAGTTTGCTGATCGGGTAGGAGATGGGGAAAGAGAGCACCATGAGCAGCCGCGTTACCCAGATGGTTTTGGAGGCGATGGCGAGTCCGTGACGCGACGCCACCGAATGCGGAAGAATCTCCCCGATGAAAAAGATCCCGAAGGCGCAGATGACCGTGGACAGCCAGGTCATACCTAGGATCTGACACATCCACACGGCCAGAGACGCGTTGATGATCGCAGTGCCGAGTAGCAGAGTGCACAGGACGTAGTTGCCATGCCTACGCACTGACTCGATCTTCCGCGCATAGTTCTGCTCCTTGTCGGTGCCGCTGTTCTGCAGGACTTGCAGCTCCACCGGGTCCAGTGCCAGTAGACTCAGGTTTAGTCCGCTGAACAAAGCTGACAGCCCGAGCAGCAGGACGGACACCAGCACCTGCAGCCAGAGCTCCGGGACCGCAGAGCGCTCCGACACGGCCAACCAGAAGTCCCTGGTCCGGTAGTGCTCCCATTTGGATCCGTCGAAGGCGCACATTGAGTAGTACTTGATCTTCTCCCCTCTCCGCAGATCTTTGGCCAGCAGCTCTACCAGCACCGAGTTCTGACTGGAAGCGGACTTAAAAGATCCCAAAACCTCGATGTCGGACGTCCTGGCGTTCTTGTCCATACACATGTTCCTCTTCGGGTGAACTTGCCCCTCTCTCCCGGGAGTTGGTTCCTCGATGAAGGCGATCCAGGGCGCGGCATTGTTGGCTCGAGTTCCCGCAGTTCGGTTGAGCCTCTGCGGGGAGGTGGAGTAGTAAACCCGCAGCATGAAGCGGGTTCCCTCGGTGGTTTTCAGCACCCCATCCTGCACGGACAGCTCCGCCCCGGTCTCCTCCGGCCGAAAACCGAGCAAACCCAGCGCCGGGGCGGGGAGAAGGGAGATGACGGAGAAGGAGAGCAGCAGCACCCGGGACGGAGAGAGAGGAGCCCCGCGGGAGAACAGGGCTCCGGTTCGGAACCGCGCGGCCTCATCCTCCACAGCCATGATGCGGTGTGAGGGGCTCGTTCAGTCCAGTGCTCCCGGGTCACGTGGTGCTGCGTGGTCCCCGTCCATATGGGAGAAGGAGGGACCTGCAGATCTCTGCTAAACTGTGATTATGATGTTCTGCTGCTGCACTGAGCTGTGACGTAACTTTCTATTAATAGCCTCTTGTTCACTATGAAAAATGACCAAAACTGTGGTAATGCAGGAGTTAGCGAAATCCTTAATCTTAATATTTGTTCTAATTGTATCACTTGAACTGGATCTTTGGTGTGTGGACATAGGCCTGCACACTGAGTTATAAATGATTTATTCAAGTTTAAAAACAACACTAGGTATTGGTTGTCTTAACTGCCTTCATTATTCCTCAATTTCAAGCAGTGGTTGACTGGCTCCCCCCCGCTGCAATGAAGAGTTGTTTTTTTATTTATTTTTTTACAACATTTACCTACAGTGAGGGTAGGCATAATTCTATTTGTATGACATATAATAAAGTTTTGGGGGAGGCTAACCATGCCTGCTGTCTATTACACTGGTCTGTTCTACAAAAAACTAATTACCGGTAGTTTAAATGAAAGATATTAATTATCAATTGCAAATAATGATACTGTAATCATTTGAATGAAGAGTATTATAATGTGATGTGATTTAAAACAACATCATTTTTCTGAAAACCATGCTTCTTTTTTTAAAAACTGGACTGATTGGACATGATTCTGCAAATGTATATGTTTTACCCTCTCAGATTCCCAGAAAGACGAGTCAAAGTGTATGGTGAGGTCCAAAGCATCATGGTATTACTGGATAACTGTCTGTTGAGCATCTCATTCCAAATCAACAGGCATTCATCTGCTGCAATAACATGTGACGGTTTGTCTCTGACAGAATCAAACATGCAGCAGATGTTAGAGTCTCTCTGAAGGGATTCGTTGTAGGGAGATAAACACCTGGCTCGTATCACACAGGCTGCTTATTCTTTCTTTTGGTTTCTCTCCTCCACCTCCAGACACTTCTCACTTTCAACAATGCATTAGCCTACTTAAGAACTTTTTGGAAAGAGAACATTTGTTTGATTACTGTTATTGATGTATAAGTGGTGATGGTGAGCGGTTTTGTATATGCTTTTAAGTTATATTAGATCTTTATGTACTAAAAGTGTCTTTATTTAATTATTTTTATTAAGAATCAATGATTCTGTATGGCAGAGAAATCTTGGGACCAAAATTAAATCAGGTCTTTGACAAATGTGATAATACAATAATTGATGTATTCCACATTGAGTTCTGTAAGAACCTCTTACACATTCAAAGAAAGACCCCAAACAATGCAGAATGTGGAGCATAACTCAGCCAATACCCCCTCCTACTAAAAATACCAAATCTGCAAAGTAGTGTCCCCCAGACCGACTGTCTCATGGCCCTGAGCTGCCGAGAGCTGAAGCCATAGAGTTAATTAAAATGCTTATTGGCCTTAAATGGACACTACACATTAGCAGATTTCCTGAGCACTGTAAAAAGTCCTCACTAAGGAAAGTCCTGACAATGTACAGACTCAGCAAAGTTTCAGACAGACTCTGCTCTCACACTGCAGGTAGAGAAAGAGCTCCACTTCCTCACATCATTCCCCAAATATCAGGCTGTGAATAAGGAATACTTCCCCACAATAACATGAACAACACACACAAAGGCTATAACAACAGCAGGGAGAAAAACCATAATTATTAGATTAGCAACAAAACACACACACACACACACACACACACACACACACACACACACACACACACACACACACACACAGTCTACGCACATACCAAAAAATATTAAACAGTCTCATGAACACAAATTGGAACAGTCAATTCCATTTTCCACTTTCAATGTTTATTTGTTGTTGTTTTGTATTACTGGACTTTTATTTATTTTTTTAGTTAGTTTTGTTTTCATAGAATTTCATTATTACTTTTATTATCAAAACACAATTAATTGATAGTATTATTATTACTGTACTGAAAATGACCATGGTTAATGTGTTTCATTTGTTGTTATTCAACTGTTTTTATTACATTGACACCAATAAAACACCTTGAATTGATTTGATATGGGGTAAGAAAAGGAACAAAAAAAAAAAAGCTTGCTGGCTCACATCCTGGTACTTTTTACATTCAGCATTTTACATCCAGTATTGGGACTTTTTTGTCTTGGCAAACTAAAAGTATGGAAGTCTGAGTATTGAAACACAGCCATGCTGTTCAACCTGGAGACTGGAACTAAACGGTTTTCAGGTTGAACATTCCTCTGTACAAATTCCCAAATCATCCCCAGCTGCTGACCCATCTGTCTCTCATTACATCATCACTCCTCCTGTGTAGAACTGGCTCACCACACCGTTTCCTCTGCCAGTTTATCAACAAGAGCACTCTTGTAGCCATTTTTTTTTTTGCCTGATATCTTCTACCTGTTTTTTTTTTTTTTTTTTTTGCATGATTGGAATAAGATTACCATTTTTTTGTCAATGAATGCAAGGGAATTTAAAGGTGTCTTTTTTGTCTCCACAGACTATACACTATAATTATACACACTCAACACATGCATTTCATCAGAGGGGTTAGAGCAGATGTTTGTCTGAACTCCATGAATTATATTTATTTATTTATAACATTTGAGTGAAACTTTTTCATCAGGTTGTGTTGCATTGTTTATCTGTTGTGTTTTTGTGTCCACTGCTGCAAATCAAATTTCCCTTCCAGGGACAATAAAGATCTGAACTGAACTGAACTGATCGCATGCACCGTCAGCAGTTATGGGGTTCAATGCTTTGCTCATGTGCACTGGGCCAGAGATGATGAGCTCTATAGAAGTGATGCCAGCCATCCTACTGTGAAGGAACTCTTTAACTATCAGCTTGTTTTGAACCTGTTTTATTTTAACTTGAACTTTTCATTGTGCTGTATTTTATTCTTCTATTTTTCAGCCTTGTTGTCTTCATTTGGGTGCTTAACCCTTTTACATCATAACACACCAATGATGAGCAGTTTACATTCCATTCATTTTGAAGGTGTTGGATGAAGATAAAACGTCCCCGTACCAAACTCCATTATTTACACATCTGATTTTGTGCATGAGGGAAATGTGTTAAAATTTCCACAAAAATGGTCACAAAGCTAGAACTACCCATATCAGTGTTTCACGCTGCATAAGGATTTTCCTGAACAATGAAGACAAGGTTTAATAAAAAAATAATATATATTTTTAAATAATTACAACTTACAATTTATCATATTGTCATCTGTTTTACTTGATTTTACTGTACTGCCTTTTCTCCACATGGTGGCAGTATTGTTTAGGTTATCAGACGCTGGGGATAAACGTCAAATTCAAAATCTGTAACACTCCAAAAAATAATGTCTGGTTTGCATTACTCAAAACAAAACCATGTCACTTTGAATCATTGGTTACACTCCTGATGTGTTAAATTACAATATGATGTTAATGTATGCTCTCTCCTATAACAAATGTGGTCATTGGCCTTTTTCTTCATAATTATCTTATTTTACGTAGGGATTCTAGTATTTGTTTTTCAACAGTTTAAGTCTATTTTCATATTTTTCTTTGTTAAAAATCTTATTATAATAGTTGATGGAGAGACTATGTTCAAATCAGGAGATTGACGTGATAGTGACCTCTTAGGAGCCAAAAAAAAACACAAAAGAAAAAACATTTGTCTGCTTATCCGAAATCAAAGTTACTCAGATATGTATCCCATATTCAGATATCGTTTTCACAAACTAAGATAAGAGTTTTTTTTTTTTTACCATTTTAAAGGGAACATTGCCTGTACAGTATTATAATTTCCTTTAGTAGAGCTCTAACAAGTCGATATTTCATTCTCAGATTTTTTGTTCTGTTTGAATCATTTTTGGTCTTTTAGCATGAAAGACAACAAACACTTTATCTTGGGTTTCAGCAGAGGTCTTTAGGAGTAAAGACCCACTGAACCTCCTGTCCTCCCTGGGACAAGCTTGTGGGTGATGATCCCTTACTGCTGCTGGGCGGAGCTTCTGATGCCTTCAACGTAGGCAAACAAAATCAACATCGCCTGGTTTTACAAGAAATGTACCGTTTTAAGTTTCCTGACAGTAGAACTAGTGAGTATTGTTTTAAATAACATTCACAGTCATGCAGGTCAATGAGGAGATATGACGAAATGAACCTGTCCGAGTTGAAACACGCTGAACACACGCTACGGATTATAAAGCTGGCCTCTGAACGAGTCACTAAAGTGAACACTTTTGGACACTTTCAAAGTTGCTCGTGTTTCCTAAAATCCGGTGAACATTTACAGAAGGTTAGTGATTAACAGTCGTCCTGTGCTGCAAACAGCTGCACAGAGTCCCAGCTTTAGAGACAGCGAGCACCTCGTCGGTCACTGTCCGCTTCACAATGCTCTGCGTGCGGACATGGAGAGCTCTGAGCCCCCGGTGCAGGAGCGGAGCTCACCTGACTGCAGCATGGAAACAAACCCAGAACTTCTCATCTGCTGCCAGGCTGGACCTGAGCGGGATATACCCGCCCATTGGCACCCCGTTTACCGACAAAGAGGACGTGGACTACCAGAAACTGGAGGAAAACCTGCAGAAATATGCCAAGATACCATTCAAAGGTAAGACATGTTTCACACTTTTAAGTTAAAAAAAAAAAGCAGTGGAGTTTAGGTGTTCCGCAGTCTAAAGTTCTTGGGTCATTTAAAGGGATAAAGATGATCCACGTTAGGGAAAGTAGAGCTAAATAACATGGTTTATTAAAGCAGAGAGGGAGTAAATATGTGTCACTCTGATAGGCTATAAAACTGGAAAACTCTCAAGAAGTTAAATTTAACACGTGAAAAAAGTGGGTAGGCAATTCAGGAACACGTCTAAACTCATATTCTTGCTTAACCTGCTTTTTGTCAGTCAATGATCAGTCTGCAGTACCTGCTCAGTTAGAGACCTAACTCAGAGAGGACAAAGTTCAACACACGGGGGGAAAAAAGGAAAATCCCCTTGTTTTGCAGGTGTTTATCGCCATCTAGTGGTTTCCCATTGCTATTACACCGGATTTTTAAAGTCACTTCATAAAAGACTGTTGACTGCCTACTTGTGATAATAAAAGTTAACATGTTGGCCCTAATCCTTGTGAATAGTTATTATGGCTTACTGGCTGTAATCAGGTGTA